CCTCCTGCGGGTGGTGGGTCCACAGTTGGACGAGCCCATGTATCCGGTTCGGGCTGGGCCCGGCCGGGCCCCATGGGCGAAAGCCCGGCCACCAGGCGCTCGCTCACGGGCCCCAACCCCAGGCCTGGCTCCAGGGTGGGACCCCGGTAACCCTCCGGGCCGGGTACTCCGACTCTTCGTTTTAACCGCCATGAAAAATCCTTCGATCTTAGTCGCTGTTCCTAACGCCTAGTGACAAAGCTAGCTACATTTCTGAGGACCCTTAGCTACTTTCTGTAGAACTTTCTTCTAGATATTTCCTGCTAATTAGCAACAAAATAGCCATTTTCACTCCGAACCGTTCTTTGGTTTGATGTTGTTTCAGCTGTCATCAAGGATATAAATGTTACAGATAGGTTAAAGGTCACCGGTGCTGTAGCTCACCTAGTAAAATGTTTGACTCTCATGCAGAAGACCTGTGTTCGACTCCAGTTGTGAACTTAATTTGTAATTTAAAGTTTCTTTTTTACATCAATGATATATTTTTTACAGTAATAAGACGCCCAAATTTTTATTTGAGACTCACCGAACGGCATTGAATTCACAGATAAAAAAAGATGTGGGTTCAACTTTCATTTTGGAACAATTTTTCAAGCAAGGGAAGGGAATGATCTGAGCATGCAGGAGGACTGACCCATCATAAACCTTTGTCAGCTGTGCTGAAGAGAAAGGTACAGAACCAAATTATTTTATTAATTATCTGCGCCTTCTCCTGTCCTCTTCCCCCCCCCCCCCCCCCACACACACACACACACGTCCGGCCGACGAGAAAGTGCAGCTGCAGAGACAGAGGCACATTGTTATTAATTTGCTGTGTTGTTCTGTCCTCCGGGCCACACACACACACACACACACACACACACACACACACACACACACACACACACACACACACACACACACACACACACACACACACACACACACACACACGGGACTGTCTCAGCTGTTATTTTCGTTAAGGAGTGTGCACGTACAGCGTGCACACCTCATGCACAAGCTTACTTTTGAAGCTGCCGTTACGCGTTAGGCCTCAGTGGCGATCGCGAGCACAAAAACTTCAAACTTCCTTACAGTCCCTTTAAACGAATAGTTTTATACTTCAGCTTTTTTACTTTTTAAAAAAATGTGACTTAACATTTTCGGTTTTGGCTGAAAAATCAACATTTAAAAGGGACATGTCATGCAAAACCCACGTTTTGCATCCTTTTCTAAGGAGGTGTAGGTCTCTACTGCCGCTTGGGACAGCAGTAGCTCAGGAGATAGAGCAGGTTGTCCAGTAATGGAAAGGTTGCAGGTTCGATCCTGGCTCCAACCAGAGAATGCTGCTGTTGTGTCCTTGGGCATGACACTTAACCTGCCTTGCCTGCTGGTGGTGGTCGGAGGGACCGGTGGCGCCAGTGTTCAGCAGCTGTAGCTACACTGTAGCTCATCCCCACCAGCGGTTGAATGGGTGAATGACTGATTGTGTTGTGAAGTGCCTTGGGGGGGTTGTAGAACCTTAAGAAGGCGCTATGCAAATACAGACCTTTTACCTATGAACTTTACAAAGTGGAAAAAAAACAATCCATTTTCTGTAAGTTTTCGGTTTTAATTATTATGTTCTCAAAACTGTTTTTATTTTAAAAAGTCCCACTTTGTGACATCACAAACAGGAAAATATGAATAGAAACACCTCTCGCCTGGGGGAGCAGCGGCTCTACTCCAAGCCCCTCCCACATGTTGGAGCTTCTCAGCTCATAGCAGCCTATCTGCTCCAGCTTGTTTTCTTAGTGACAGAGCTCTACATTCAGCTAATTTTGGAAGGAAGTAAAGATGTTTAAAATAAAACAGCTGAAATCACTTTATGTGAGAGGGATTTAGTACAAAGAACTTCAAAAACATGGAATTATTATATCGTTTAAAGCATGCTCAATGAATTCAATATAGACACCCACTGGGTTTGATGCTAGTTCTTTTGGTAATGATTTTATTTTCATGAGATTTATCTCTTTGCTGTTTTCATATAAGACATCGGCTCTTATGAGCAAGTATGAGGTCTGATCTTGTAAAGCTGTGCTGTAAAACTAGCAGTAGGAGAAAACGGTGTCAGATTAAAGGACCCTGTTTATCTATCAGTGCGTTAAAGACAGAGAAGACGTTTGTTAAATTCTCACTGTGGGAATCGTGGGAGATCTGTCTTTGAAGCAGAGACGGCTGGGTGTTGGCTGGTGGAGATAGCGGTCTACTGTGGGTCACACCGGCGAAGCAAAAGGCAGAGATGTAGTCATCTGTGCAGCTGCTCTGTGTATCATTTGTGGCTACCTTTGATGCGTCTCCTGCTGTATTTATGCAAGCTAAATGGCTCTGTGATGGACGGGACCAGTCTGTGTGGTTTTGTGTGTTTAAACAGAAGATCTCTGTCAAAACTCCGACCGCAGTCGTGAAACACGAGCATCTCTCCAGCAGCGTCCTGCCTAACTCACACCGGTGGTAATTTTCCAGCCCCTGAAGCACATTTGCATGTTCAACCCGACCTCGGCAGCAGTTAGGAGGCTTCCTGACCTCTCACAACAACAACTTTATCACCATACCGCTAACTGCATAATTGACAGGAGCACAAAGCCCAGCTGCCTCTGGTTGGAGTTTGATGAAAGTGTTGACATGATCCCACGTCTGTCACAGTCATCGGTTCAAACAGCTGAAACGCTTACCCAGCATCGACGTAAAATCAGCCCAACGCGAAAAAGCGTTCAAATGAGAGGGCGTGTACGTATCAATATGGCAGAATGAGGTCAGCTGCCTGATTGGTTATGATGCAGATCCCTGTACAGAGGGCTGTAATGGCTGCTCTAGAGGCCCACCTTCTGTGTGAGATGGATGAGCATCCTGCCCCAAGGCTCCTTCTCCACACGTCCCTGTCTGATCCCAGCTCATCCGGTTTATTTGGCCTTCCCACTGGAGAATCTACTCAGCACAGCTGGATTTGAACATCTCTGATGAGTAAACACAAACATCACACTGAACTAGGACTAGGAGCCACAACCCGTTTCTCTCCTTTAATGGGGGAATTCTTGCTCCCTAACCTTTTAGACTCACCTATTTAAACCTAGGAGGATCCGAGTGGGACAGACTTGACGCCAGCTGTAATCTTTGTTCTCCATAAATTTCCACCTGCTCAAAAGAACTTTTCAATAGTAGCAGTGATGTTTATGTGACATGGACACAGCAGTTACACTGGACGGACCAGATGCATTGTTTAGTGTGTTAGCACACATGCTAATTTGCAACACTTGTCCATAAAACCTTTCTAAAAGTAGAGTGCATTTAAAGAGCAAGTCACCCCCTACCAGAGTCTAACTCCACGCCCACATCATGTTTGAAAAATGCAACACATGCTGTTGCCTGGCAGACCGAGAGGGCGGAGCCGCTAGCAAATACACACTCAGGCTCACGACAGCATTGTGACATCATAATGTACCAGTTTACATCATAGCGTACTTCTTAGCCAATAGTGGTGGCAGATTTAAATTAAAATACAGTGCAGAGTTTTTACCTGACAACGGCACAACACTGCCAGTTTTAGGCAGAATATTTAAATTTGAACTAAGATGCACTGAAGTGCCAAATTATTGACGACACGTGTCTGCAGCACGATTAGACACTCGTTTATTTAGTTTATCAGCAAAAAAAAGTTTATTTAAGGGTGACTTGCTCTTTAAATAAAATACAAAGAGATCAACAATAAATCAAACAGAAAACAGATTAAAATTGCAAACAATTTTCAATAAAACAGAATAAAAAGAATAAAACAAGGCAATTTGAGCAGCAATGTAAGACTTTAAAACTATTCATGTAGACGTTGTTGTTTAGACTTTAACCATTTTTTGAGTTCTTTGTTAAAAACGTTACTGTCCGTTTCTAGTTTTAGGTCAGCAGGTAGACAGTTCCGACGTTTGGCCCGAGCAGACTGACCAGAGGAAGTCTTGCACCGCGGGACGAGACCATCGCCGCAGGTGGAGGCTCGAGTGATCGTTCTATGAGAGCTCTGACGTCTGACGGCCACAGCAGAGGTTTTCCTCTGAACCTTTAGCTGCTTTGCCCTGATTATACATGAATCATCCACAACTGTTGGTGCAACCTTGGTGAAAGGAATCTGCACTACTAGATCTTGTCACCTTTAAAGTCAAGTAGTCGTAACGCCATTAGATCAGGCTAACATGACTGTGTAAAAGTTATAATTAGCCATTAGAGGCATGCTTACTGAACAACCTTCACTGAGAGAAACAGGATTGCTGCACCAGGCGAGGCGTGGATGGGGCCGTGCCGCCACGGCACGTTCACGTCGTGGCGGCACGGCGATGCGGGAATTATCATCATTCGCGTTGCCAGACTTCTGAGGGTGGTGTCATGGTCACGTGTGGAGTTACTGCAGAGCTGCGGCCGGAAACTATATTATATATGATGCCGAGCTCCGGGAGTTTCTCTCCATTAGAGCTGGATCTCTAGCGGGGGCCGTGCTTTTTACTGCGGGTGACTATGATTGTACATAACTTTTATACAGAAAAGTGAGATCATCCAGCCTGTAATTCACTTTCTCAGGGATCTAGAACCGCCATCTCCTGTTTTGCATCATCTCCTTCCTGCTAGTTTCTTCTCTGCTGTCTGGCTTCTCGCCTTAAACTCAGTGACCAGCACTTGCCACGGGGAAGTGACCTCTGTCGCCACCTCCACCAGCCCTGTTCCCCCCGTTTTTCCCACTCTGTCAGACGCTCTCCAGCTGCGCTCAGTCAGATGCACTTTCCTGAGAGCAGCGACTGTAATCGATTCCTGACGCAGCTCGATGATGTCCCTGCTGCCGGCTCCTGTAAACCTGCTGTGCTCCAGAGAGAGAGAGAGACAGTCAGGAGGAGCTTGTGTCAGATTTTTGTACCCTTGTTGTGATACTGTTTTTACCAAACTGACCCTTTTGTGTCCTGCAGGTGCTAGCGGCGGGACCTCTGTCGCCAAGACGCTTGCTGTACAGAACGCTGTCGGACGAGAGCGTGTGCAGTAACCGAAAAGCCTCCTCATATGGCAGCTCGCACAGCTCCATGCTGGATCAAGCCATGCCCAACGACATCCTGTTCAGCACCACCCCACCTTATCACAGCACACTGCCTCCTCGCATGGTCCATAACCAGGGAGCCTCCAACCTACGGAGTGAGTACAAACGAGGAAATCCTGCGTAGCGACTAAGAAACTCCTAAGCTTTGGTTCTGGTGAGACTCGTCCTCAGCCTGGACTACTGCTCCTCTCCTCTGGCACCAGATGTGAGTCAGGAGGCTTCTGGTTTGCCGATGTCTTCAGCATGACTTGACCGATATAGCGAGCTAATTAGAAGTGGGTGAGGCGGTCTGCCACTCCAGACACCTGCCACAGCTGGCCGGTGTGACGGGGTCTTCCTGCACCGCTGCAAGTCTTTAAGATCTCTATTTTCTTTCTTCCCACTTGTGAGTTTCACCGTCTCTGTCCAACAGAATGTCTCATTCACTCTCCACCCCCCGCCGGCCCACCTCCTCTGTCCCTCCCGTCTCATTTCCATACGGTTCCTCGCCTGTCTCTCACCGCCGTCGTTAGATAGAAAATGGGGTGTAGGGAGGTGGATGGGTTTTTTTTTTGCCCGCGCTCTCTTTTGCCTTTTCTGGCTGTCAACCTAGCGGGTTCCTGATTGTGTTGAAGGATAGCTGAGAACACAGGCTCTCGTTTCTCCATACTGAAACGGCCCAATTTGGTAAACAGTGAATCACTCGAGCTGCAGGAAGCTTGGTAAATTGAACGGAGAATGTCAGTGTCACCTCCAGCTCCCTGCCTCCCCGCTTCAGGCTTTTCTAAATGCCTCTCTGCAGAACTGGAGCTTGTTTGTGGCGTTCTCCGTCTGTCAGGCCTAAGAGGAAGGACGGGTGGGTGGGAGGGAGGAACGGAGGAAATGAAAAGGAGATATTGATGGAAGCATAAAGGCATTCACTTAGACAAGCCGTTTATCGGTCCTTCGACAGTTCTTCTCCCGCGGGTTTCAGAGAAGTTGGTTCAGCGAGACTTGAGTCGATCACTCAGATGCTAAACTTTCCTTTAGAGCGTCCAGATCCGAGCCGCCGGACTTGGGGACAGACCGATAAAAGCAGCTGTTCTGGTGTACACAAACGGGACCCCCCCCCCCCCCCCCCCCTCTCTCTCTCTCTCTCCATCTCCCAACTCCTTTTGTCTGCTGCACACTTGTGGGGACCTTAAAGTCTAGGACGGGCTCTCAGACACTGAACGGATTACCTGCCTGTCTCTGCAGGTGAGTTTTGGTTCTCAGACGGCTCGTTGGCGGACAGGTCCAAGTTCAGCGACCCGGGCCTCATGCCCCTCCCAGACACCGCCTCAGGCCTGGACTGGCCTCACCTGGTTGACGCAGCACGAGCCTTTGAAGGTAACCAGCTCAGCTGAAGCTGCTGGCACCTTGTGTGACCCCGCCCACTCCCTCCCCCTCTCCACCCACCTCCCAGCTTTAGTATGTGTGTGTGTGTGTGTGTGTGTGCGTGCGTGTAATCTGCACGTGCTCACACGCTAGCATGTGCAGGTGTGTGTTTGTGTTTCTACGGCTCACCGCTAAGTGCCACAGGAGGCGACTTCTGGGACTCCTTCTGCTTTTTGCACCTCCACGGCGAGCTTGCCCTTTGTGGTTCCCAACAGGCTCTGTTATCCGGGAAAATGAGCCGTCATTTTACGGCACAGAGATGGAACCAGTTTTTACACCATAAAAACCAGCAAGTCAGCACTCAGGCGGACTTTTACAACAGTGCTTTTACCCTTTAAGCTCTTGGGCTGTTAGTTTCGGAGCTTCATTTTTCTGTTCTGAAAATAATCCCCTAGAAATTCCAGTTTTCCCTGTATTCAGTAGATATTCATGTTGGAAAACTAACCTGTAAGAGCTCTGATTAGAGCTTGCTGTCATCTCAGATAACATCATTCATTCTCAAACTAAAAGCTTGGTTTGAAGCCTCATAATGGGCGGCGTCCGCGTTCGTTTAGTTGTTTTGATTATTTTAAGCCTTTTTGCAAATCGCCGTCATGTCGGTGCATTTCCCATCTGCCATGCAAACGTTAACACACCATGAGATCTCTCTCTCTGTCTGGAACTCTGTCTGACCCCGACCCGCGAGCAGACAGCATAGCTTGTGTTCACTCATTTGTCGAAGCGGAGCTTCATCTTTGGCAGGGGCGGATCTACAAAATTATTGATGGGGTGGCAGAAGAGGGGCAAACATTTTTCTAGGGTGGCAATACACACACACACACACACACACACACACACACACATATATATATATATATATATATATATATATATATATATATATATATATATATATATATATAATATTTCACTGCACTGAGATATTGTACTTTGGTTCTGTTGTTCACTCAGAAACATGTTTTCCTTTTTCTTTTCCCAGTATTTACATATTCATTTGTTTTGGGTCCTTTAATAAGCTTAAAGGCCCATCACGAAAATAAAACACATAATAAAATTATGTCCTTCCTACAACAGCTGAATGCGGCAGTTTCCATGTTGCTCATCAAAACAATTTACACATTCATCAAGATCCAAAGATTTTGCCCGTTTTGATTCAATCCTGAGTACAGCCTAGCTTCATAGTCTTTTCTCTGCCAAAGCAGACTGCAAATAGGTCTCTATGAGCCTGAGAGTTGAAAAACTTGGATTTTTCTTGAATTTATAGCTGCCAGCTGGGGTGGCAGCAGGGGTAGCAAGGCTTTCTTTTAGGGTGGCAACTGCCACCCTATGCCACCCTTGTAGATCCGCCCCTGATCTTTGGGTCTTTTCTGGCTGCAGAGGCCGGAGTCCATCATTTAAGGAGAGCCGAATCGGCCGAGATGTTGGAGTGTGACTGACGGCCGCCCGCGCAACCTGGGTCCCTGAGCAGAAACGGCTTTTTACCAGCTCAGCTTGATGCAAAATGGTCACAATGTGTTGCAAATAATAAAGTATATTCTAATTTTCTCTAACAAGCATGACCAATAGAAAAAACGTAGTTAGTCCAGCAAATCTGAACCGCTTGACACGAAAAGGACGAGCTGGATTTCTGCACCCGTCTCTGCGAAGGCTTTAATCTTCCTGATGCAGCCGTGGAATATGAGGAAGATGTTCATTCATATGGAAATGAAGCTCCGGTCTCTCCCCTGCCCCATGTGAGCAACCAGCTCTGGGCTCAACCGTCTTATGACTTGAAGTGGATTAGTTTCATTTGAGAGCTAAATTAACGGAAAGGCTTGCTTAATATATTAATATGCAGATCCTCCTATCTTTAGTCTCAGACCAAAAGGAGTGGTTTCTAAGGAAAAGAGCATTACGTCTGAAAACTGAGCAGCCCCTGAGCACGCCAAGTTTGGATTTCCGTACAGCTTTGGCAACGCCTTAAGGGCCTGATTTGGTAAAACAAGCGTGACTGGTGTCTTACAGTCATCTGAGTCCCGCCCGTCAGGACCCAAACGGCCGTCAGAAGAAGCTCTGAAGATCGAGGGCACTGGAGCAATTCCCCGGGGACTGACCGCATCTGTAAGGGTCTAAAAGTGTCCAGTAACCACCTTTTCCCCTTATTCTCCAGTTTCTGGTGGCTCTGCAGGAAGGTGTGCATGTGATCAAGTAGTTCTGCTTCAGCTGCACGCTGGCAAATTGAAACAAATTTCCTGTTCTGAGGTCAAAGCCAGATGATGACCTGCTTCGTCGCCTGTTCTGTCTGCAGACCAGCGCGTGGCATCATTCTGCACTATGACGGACATGCAGCGGGTGGAGGCTCTGCAGATCTCCAGAGAGCTGACCAGACGGGTGGTGGAGGCAGAGGGAGCAGCGCTGGAAGCGGAGTAAGCTTACAAACATGCCAAAACTCACAGTAGTCAAAGCTCTTAGAGAGAGATGTTCTTCATCGTTGGCCTCAGCCACAGTTGGGCAGGTTATTATTTGGGGCGACGGTGGCACAGGAGCTAAGAGCTCGCCCCGCAATCGGAAGGTTGCAGGTTCGAGCCCCGCTCAGCCTGTTGCTGTCGTTGTGTCCTTGGGCAAGACACTTAACCCACCTTGCCTGCTGGTGGTGGTCGGAGGGACCGGTGGCGCCTGTGCTCGGCAGCCTCGCCTCTGTCAGTGCGCCCCAGGGCAGCTGTGGCTACATCGTAGCTCATCACCACCAGTGTGTGAATGTGTGTGTGAATGTGTGTGTGAATGGATGAATGATTGTGTTGTAAAGCGCCTTGGGGGGTTCCAGGACTCTAGAAGGCGCTATATCAAACACAAGCCATTTACCATTAAGGTCAGCTGAAGACAAGGAAAACCCAAGTAAACACGAAACTCCGTTTGAAAATGATGATTTTTGTTTTTTGTGGGGAAAATAAGTTCTCCAAACCACCCTGGTAATTTTCCTCCGTTTAAAGTCATGAATTAACTGGGATTATTTGGAAAGCTGAGTCCAGTTCCATCAGCTACACCCAGGATTAAATATGACTTCAATAGAACCTGAAGCAGGCCACAAGATCTCAAGAAGCAACACGTCATATCCTGTTTTGAAGAAACTCGAGAACAAAAAATAATATCTAAAGATCTGCAGTCATGACGGAGGAATGGCATCATGGGAGCGTTCTATGATCAAAGACTCTCCTGAGCAAAAAACAAAAACACACAAGTCTGTTTCACAGGCTAATTCTGGTTATGCTCCGAGGTGGAGCTATGAACTGATGAGACCAAAGCAGAACCTTCTGGAAGATAAAGATCCCATTAATTGAAGTCAAACTGACACTAAAACATTGTCATAGCAACAGTTGGGCACGGTGGTGTGAGTGTGATGGTTTGGGGCGGATCTGCTGCTTCAGGACCAGGGCCGTTTCTCAACATGCATACTTGTCCGAACTTGTGTACTCACGTCCTTGTGATCAGTGACCTAGTGACCGTTCTCGGTGGCCTAGTGGTAGAGTGTCCGCCCTGAGATCGGGAGATCAGGGGTTCGATTCCTGGTCGGGTCATACCAAAGACTTTGAAAAAATGGGACCCAATGCCTCCCTGCTTGACACTCAGCATTAAGGGGTTGGATTGGGGGTTAAACCACCAAATAGTTCCCGAGCGCGGCTATGTCTGCAGCTCACCGCTCCCCCAGGGGATGGGTCAAATGCGGAGAACAAATTTCACCACACACACCAGTGTGTGTGTGACAACTGATGGGACTTTGACTTGATGGCCCAAGGACTGTTCCACTCCTAAGTATGCATCATGGCAAGTTCGCTCAAAGTTCCCGGACGTGTCCACTGATTTGAAGAAGTAATTGGTCTGAAAACGCACTCCGGTACTGGCGGTGGTTTAACAAGCGGGGCGTGAAGTCATGGTCACGTTCTAGCTCGGTGTTTCTGAGCTCCTGGGGACAAAATCCATCCATTTATGCAGAATGAGCTGTTCTTCAGGAAGATTGGACCTTGTACCTCTGGAAGACAAAACCCCATTATCTCATTGCCGGCATTACTCAGAGTGCATACTAGATAAGTACAGAAACACTTTTTCTCAACGGTGAGATTTAACTGCCTGCTAGCTACACGGTGTTAGTGTTTACAGTCCAGGGGAGGAGGGATCCGGATTCGAGACTAAAGCCTGGTTTATGCTTCTCCGTCAGCTCCGCAAGGGACAGACACGCACGGATTGACGGAAGCGTTTTGCTCTCATACTTCTCCGTCTCCTGGAGAGTGTTGCAAAGCAATTGCCCGACAGGACAGCAGAGGGCGTAGCGCTGTTCTGTGGTATCCTGTCATGTATCGGTCCAAGATCGTGTGTTTATATTGTGTTTTTTGTGTATATAAGAGACTTTTAACACGGACATATTTGTCTCTCATTCTCCCACCGCTTCATGCGCTCCCCACCTCTAAACCCACGTTTCCTGTCATTTCCGTCCACAAATAAAACGCTTGCTGCGCATCTTTTCACTCCTCCAGTCACGGGAGGACTAAACGTTCATGTTTTTAGAGTTTTTCGCGAGGTATTCTTCAAGCTTCTCCGTGTCTGCCGCTAGTTATCCGCAGCTCTCTTTGCAATGGCGGTGCTGTAAACAACAGCGGCGTCCTGACCAATCACAAGCTTGCGTAATCCGTCTCGTTCGACGGATGTTTAAAAAAGTGGGCTCGACTCCGTACGTACTTGCGTGCCCTACGCAAGGACGGATAAAGGCGTTGCGTGTCTCCGCACTGACGCAGACGGAGAAGCATAAATCAGGCTTAACCTGGGTGGGGAGGAACGGGCTATGATGACATCACTATGCCCCATCCAGCCTTTTGAAATAGCGGAGCAGGATTTAGCAGAGTCAAAGAGAAGAAGCGGCTGAGACAGGAAAATGCATGCATGAAGCTAAAAACTGCTTTGGGGGAATTTTTCATAACATGGTCAAAAGCTCCACAAAGTATGTGGTCCCTTTAAATGTCTCTGCTGTTCTGAAGCATCCAATTGTAGTAAAAATGGAAGGAATCTGTGAAAGGGCAAATACTTTAATCTTAAAGAGCAAGTCACCCCCAAATCAACTTTTTATTTCTGATGAACTATATAAACGAGTGTCTAATCGTGCTGCAGACACGTGTCGTCAATAATTTGGTACTTCAGTGCATCTTAGTTAAAATTTAAATATTCTGCCTAAAACTGGCAGTGTTGCGCCGTCGTCAGGTAAAAACTCTGCACTGCATTTGAATTTAAATCTGCCACCGCTATTGGCTAAGAAGTATGCTATGATGTAAACTGGTACATTATGATGTCACAATGCTGTCGTGAGCCTGTGTGTGTGTGTGTGTGTGTGTGTGTGTGTGTGTGTGTGTGTGTGTGTGTGTGTGTGTGTGTATTTGTTAGCGGCTCCGCCCTCTCGGTCTGCCAGGCAATAGCATTCGTTGCATTTTTCAAACATGAAGTGGGAGTGGAGTTAGACTCTGGTAGGGGGCGACTTGCTCTTTAAATTAGCCATTTTGGTCTAGAATGTAAAGCTCGGTGGTGAACTGGTTGCAGCAGCTCCTGTTTTATCCTCAGTTACCTGCTAAACTGGTGACACACAGCTATGACCGAAAACATGCTAAATAAATATTAGCTTATTAATCCAAATACGATACAAACAACCTGAACAAAGGGCGTCACAACCCTCTGACTAGACCAACCCTAACCCCATCATCTGAGGTTTTTAGACCCAAAACAACACGATACTCAGAGTCAGAGTGCAGTACAACAAAGATAACGTCTAAAGACTGCAGCTGACAAAATATGTGTGCATCGTCCTCCCAACTTTGGTGTCTCACTCTGCTCGTGAATGTTTTTAGCTTTAAACTCACCTTTGTTTCTCTGTGCGTGAACCAGCAGCGGCTCCCCGTCCACGCTGACCGGTAAAGTCAACCAGCTGGAGGTGATCCTTAGGCAGCTGCAGCACGACCTCAGAAAGGTGCGTTTGCATGTTTCAGTGATTTTCTCACTTGTATCTTGGGCACACTTCACTCTGGCTATCAGTACATGTCTGTCACCCAGCCTGACAACGACTAATGGGTGCCTGGAGGTCTACGTAATACACACTCATACACTTAATTTGATATCCTGCTTCCTTTCCTTATTGTGTCCAAGACCGCCGCTTCTGCAGGCGAGGAAGTGCACAAAGGAAAGGCTGCTTCGCCGCTTGAATGCTCGTCGCTTACACCTTACTGATGAAACACGGAGATTCTTGTAATGGCAGCACTTTAAAAAAAAAGTCTCGCCTCATATCTCCATTTTGTCATCCGCAGGAGAAAGAAGACAAGGCCATGCTGCAGGAGGAGGTGCAACACCTGAGACAGGACAACCTGCGACTGCAGGAGGAGAGCCAGACGTCGGCAGCTCAGCTCAGGAAGTTCACAGAATGGTTCTTTCACACAATCGACAAGAAACCCTGAGTCGGAGGTCCGAGCACGAAGGCCTTCGCCCCTCCAGCTCCTGTTTCAGATTCCAACTTCAGTTATAAAAAACAGACTTTAGGAAATCCCAAGCTTGGAAAAATGTTCCGTGTGAGACTTGCAACCCGGATCTGGATCATAGGTTTAGCCCCCCACCCCCCCATTCTGAAGTTGAGGGCTGTTTCTCATGCGGCTCTATCCGGGGAAACCTCCTCATCTCATGTGCTCGACAGAACTGAAGCCACCCCCTCCAGGGGAAAAGGGGGTCCCCGGGATTTCCTTACAGTAGTGGAATGTAAAGCTCCTTCACTGTAGTCCACATGTGATCTACCTACCTACGTACATCACGTCAGTCTATTGTACTGTACACTCAGCTGTACTGTATCACACTGCCACACAGCTGTTTCTTTGCACGGACGCAGGAAAAGGGAAGGCGGGAGGCGGGGGAGGAATGTACTCGACGAAAATGAAGTGATTCTTAATGTCTGCTTGCACCAAGAGGAATCCACGTGTCGTGGGTTTGAATCCTTTAGAGGAGAAGGGAGGGGGAGGGCTGAATGTAGCTCAACTGAGATCATTTTTCTTGTTTTGCCCAAAATTACGGAAGTGAGGCGGTTTGATTCTGAATCACTGTTTGAATAACTGCTTTTACTTTCCCTCCGTGTCGTAATGTTTGGGTCACATGGCAGTAATCTAGATGTCTAAAGGTGCTTTTTTTCCCCTTCGCACATTGGTCAGTAGTTTCCATCCACCATCACAACGTCCTAGCAATAACAGCATGGTGGTTACTAAACTGTGTTTTTGTTGTTTCTGAACAAAGTTAGCACAGATATGAAGAGGTTCCTTTGGGTTGTATTTATAAAGCTGTGCCTAAAACTGGGTGTGAATTCACTTTTGTTTTGCTTTTACTTGTTTGTTTGTTTTTATAAACACATGCCTTGTCTGTGGCTCACTGAGACAAAATTGTGTGTGTGTGTGTGTGTGTGTGTGTGTGTGTGCGCGCGCGCAGTCGAATGTGTGTTTATGCAGTGGTTTCTAGAGCATTAGAGCAAAGCGCCAGTGAACCACACTTACAATGCCAAATGTGTTTATTTCTGTACATACCTGCCACAGAAGTGTCTTGTATTTAACGTTATAATTTAAGCTTATTTAACCTAAAGTTGTTTATTTTATAAGTTTTTTTTTATCTGTATTAAGGAGAGATGATGCTCTGTGTTTCTTGTAAAGTGTGTAGCTTGCCAGGGCAATAAGCAACACGACACAAGAAATAAACAACTAAAAACAACGTTATATATTTAAATATATAAATAGTGATTTTGGAAGTTCCAACATTTGGATGCTGCTAGATTTAACGGTTCGCTGGTTTGTATGCTTTTAAAAGAAATGGCCTCTCTCTCCCTGTTTAGCGTCTCCTCCCTGGTGTGGGATGTTGGATGCTTTTTCTGTTTTGTTGAATTTTGTTTTTGTTTTCTATTTCTAATAAATGTAGTTATAAAAACAAAATAATGCTTCTGGGCTTTTTAACTGAATACATTATTGCAGCACCCAGTTTGGCCTCCTGATTCTCGCGTTACATTTTTAATTTAATGGATTTGAGGAATATTTTGGCAGAAAGGAATATTTATGTTCGAATATCTACACTTGTGAATCAATGGAATATTATGGGAAAAAGGTGCTAATAAAAACGTAAATAATAAAGTAGAGTCTTTCAGTTACTAATATTTTTCTTTCTTTTTTTTAGGTTTCTAAAATCATGTTTCTGGGGGAAAAGGGATAATCTTTCAAAGTAAAAGCATAGAGTCATATTACAAAGATTGTTTTGAGTCTCTCTTTCTCTCTTTTTTTTTAATAAAGCCGGAGCACAAAGAGGATTACCTCAGCTTACCGGAGAGTTTTCCATCCCCGGCATTTGTATGGAATCGTCATTCCTTGAAGATTCAAGTTCAGCTGAATTTAAAGCAACCAAATCCAAGCGCAAACTTTTAAAGTATAAAAATAAAGCCCACTCCTTTTTCACAATACATTTGCAGCAGTCTCTAGTATAAGTGAATGCCCTATATGAGTCCATCACTGTGGGAAAAAAAAGCTCTGGCACTCCTGTTTCATGAACTAGAAGTTAGCCGGAGCAGAGATGAGCTGCAGACATCAGGATTTGGACTCTTATTTCCTGATATTTGGACATCTCCCCCCTGATTGGCTAACAGCAATACAACTCTACCACTGACTCTGCTCTGCAACAAATAACAGAAGCCTGGAGGAGATCTGCTGTGTTGTGGACTTGCTAATGCTAATGGTTAGCCTCTATTAGCAGAGACGTGCTCTGCTCTCTCCTGGATGCTAAACCAACAACAGCCTCCCCGGCGCGAGCCAAGATGAGCGAGTCCATGAATGTTCATTTTCAGTGTGACAGATCTGTCAGACTTTTTTAATTAGATCATTTCCAGTCTTACTTCCATCAGACGCTAATGCATGAAATTCAGTTCAAGTTTATTTACTTAGCGCCAAATCACCACAAGAGCTGTCTCAAGGCACTTCAGCACAGTAAACATACAGGTCAGGTCATTAAGCCAATTAGTAAAACGTTTCCTATTTAAGGAACTCAGCAGGTTGCATCGAGTCACTGACTAGTGTCAGAGTCTTCACAGCAATCTTCACACTAAGCAAGTATGCAGCGACAGTGGAGGGGAAAACTCCCTTTTGACAGGTAGAAACCTCCAGAGGAAATAGGGGTGGAGGACTGGTTTTACCTACAGACTGAATGTAAAACTCAGCGTGACTGATCATATTCCAAAAATAACAAGTAAAAATTGTTTCTCAGTGAACCTGGTATTGAAGTAAACATTTTGAAGAGTGTTATTGAGTAAAAGCCACAAATAATGACGTTACCAGTCATGGATTGCTTTGAGAAGGAAGTAAGTCTGAAAGAATCGAAGTTATTCCTGACAGCTAACCTGAAGAACAGCTTCCGTTCCAGAGCAGTCTGCACAATATTATCTAATGAACTTTTTCACCATTCAGATCAAATGCTGCAGCAAAATGAAGCACTTCCTGTGCATACAGGCATGGACGTATTCTTTGGGGGGGACAGGGGGGACATGTCCCCCCCACTTTTTCCAAAGTCAAGTTTTGACCCCTGCACTTTTTACCATCCAAAAACAATATTACGCTATATTAAATTGACACTGGTTGAGCTCTAGGACCAAGCGGAAAACAACCGTTTGTTTTGAAGCCTGTTTCCCATTAGAACATACTGTAAAGATACCCAGTATACACAGTCGTGGTGTTGAGGGTGTGGAGTTTGGTGGCAGGAGAATCTCATCTCTGCTTTATGGGGATGATGTGGTCCTCCCAGCAGGGGGGCTGCCAGAGATTTTGGGCCCCATAAAAATATATTACGTTGGGGCCCCTGGCGGCTCGTCCATAGGGGGTGCTGGGGCTCTGCCCTCCCAAATGCGAAGAGAGAAAAATATTGAAAAAAATATTATATATATACTTTATATTAGTGTTTCAGTTTTGCTTAATTATGCATGTCTACGTGCATTCTTACTTATTTACATATCATTTTCACCAGCTGTCTGTCATTAAACAGTGAATTTCCTTCAACAAAATTAGCAATATCACTCATCACCTGAGCTGTCTCGCTCTCTCCCTTCTTCCTTTACTTCCACTCTTTGACGTGAGCGAACCTGACATTGGGAGGGTCCAGGCTCTGTATTTAATGCAATTGAAATATGTGTTACATTATAGGCTGCCATTTGTGATAAAATCATCAGAGTTACAACAGTCATTTAAATTAATGCACAACAGGGAAAATGCAGCACAGACTTCTGCTGTCATGGTCTGTGTCTGCGTCTTCCTTCATGTGTCTCCTGATGTTTCTCCATCCCTCTCTAGATTCCCTTCTGTGTCTCATAGCGCCCTCATGTGTCCTTTGTCTGCGTCTCATTTATGTGTCTTCTGTTTGTATGCCTTCATATCATTCCCTCAGGTCCGGTGTTCATTTAGTCATCCTCAGCCCCTCCAGATGTAGCTCCAGCATCTTTGCCCCCAGCTCTGTGTATGTGTGTGTGAGAGTCCTTCCCTCAGTCTTTAGGTTTAGTTCTGTGTTTTAGAGTTTTAGGTTTATTTGCCCTCCTCTGGTTCTGTTTCCCCCATTTAGATAATTATATTCACCTGTCTTCCCTCCAGCCCTCACTCCACACACCTGCTGCCTTTTTCCCTAATTACTCCTCCCTGTGTATTTAAGCCCTGTCTTGTCTCTGTTTTGTGTCGGTCCATTGTGTTTTGTCAGCGTTGTTACTCGTGCTCCGTGTGAGCTTTATGTCTCCAGGTTTTTGGTGCTCTAAGTGAGCTTTAGGTGTCCTGTGCTCCAGGACTTTTGGACTTTGGCTCGCTGCCTTGGATTGATCTTTGTTCTTTCATCCTGCAAATAAAAGGATTTTTACTTTGAATCAACTTCTGCCTCTTGTCGTCTGGGTAATCTGCATATATGGGTCCTAGACATCCCCACAGCTTGACATCTGCAGTATATTAGCTGTAGTTCTCCATCATCAACACTAGATTTCATATTCCATTGTGTTCAATGTTATATTAAGTTTATTTATTACAATTAATAAGAGATTGTTTCATTTTTGCTCTCTCGTGAATTATTTGAAAATCACTGATTTTTTTATTTGAGTTCTAAAAGATACATAAACAAATTACACCTTTTAAAACCTCCCATAGTTAATTTCAAGGTATTTAGTAGAAGAGGTATTTATTCTTGTATGGTGCCTTCAAAAAGGCGCTTCACATGGACGTAATTTTCACTTTAGAAGGGGGGGGGGGGGGGGGGGGGTCTTTACAGTATGTTCTAATGGGAAACAGGCTTCAACACAAATGGTTGTTTTCCACTTGGTCCTAGAGCTCAACCAGTGTCAATTTAATATAGCGTAATATTGTTTTTGGATGGTAAAAAGTTCAGGGGTCAAAACCTGTCTTTGGAAAAAGTGGGGGGGACATGCCCCCCCCCATCCCCCCCCCCCAAAAAAAGTACGTCCATTCTTCACAGTAATTGTAATTTCACAGTTTCTGTAACATTATCAGACTAAATAACAATGCTTCGACCTGCCCAGCATCCAAAACAATCTATACACTTTTACTGATTGATTCATATAATCATCATTATGTGAATAAGTATTTGTTTGTCACCAAAAATGTCCTTTTTCTATTCCTTTTAAACAGTGATAGAGGAAAGAGACACAAAGTGCTTTCCACAGACTCCCTGTGCTGCTAGCTAACATGCTACAGAGCTCACCTTCTTCAGGTTCATTGAGTTGCGAGGAGACACCTGCCGACATCATCAGCTGCTGATTCTGGTAAGGACTTTCATCAAGACAAGAAGGTTGTTTCTTTAATGTCTTACATTAGAAAAAATACTGCAAAGTAAAGTACTTATGATTTTTAAACATTTTTTTTATTCAAGTTAGAAACTTTTTTGGGGCCCCTGACAGCCGTGGGCCATTAGGATCATTCTAACCTTTGCCCCCCTTTACTGCGCCCCTGCCTCCTAGCTTCATCAGGCTCTGACCTACAGCTCTTGTTGGGGAGGTTTGCAGCTGAGTGTGAAACGGCTGGGATGAGGATCAGCACCTGGAAGTCTGAGATCATGGTTTTTGACCGGAAAAGGGCGGCTTGCCCTCACCAGTCCTCACCTATGGTCCAGAGGTTTGGGCAATGACCAAAGGGACAAGATCGCAGATACAAGCGACCAAAATAAGTTTTCTCCACGGGGTAGCTGGCCTCAGCCTTAGAGATAGGGTGAGGAGCTCGGACATTCGGGAAAGACTTGGAGAAGAGCTGCTGCTCCTCCATATCGAGAGGAGTCAGTTGAAGTGGTTTGGGCATCTTGTTGGGATGCCTCCTGGACGCCTCCCCAGGGAGGTGTTTCAGGCATGTCCTGCTGGCAGGACGCCCCCAGGTTGACCCAGGACACGTTGGAGAAAGTACATCTCCGATCTGGCCCAGGAACATCTTGGGGTCCTACCAGAGGAGTTGGTGGAGGTGGCCGGGGAGAGGACGGACTGGAACTACCTAGTTGGGATGCTGCCCCCGCGACCGGGACCCGGATAGGCGGAAGAAGACGTGACGAGACAATGAAAGTTAATTAGTGTTGGAGACATTTTAAGGTGGAATCAATCTTCTTACAAGCTAAAAATTATGATAAGCTGGACAAAACATATTTTATAAAACCAGTCTACTATAAACTAGTAATAATTTATATGTTAATGCATTGCAATTAATCTGAAACTGCATTGCAACAATATATTTGACAATCAAACTGACCTTAAAGTTCAACTTTATTCATATTTTTAAAACATTTGCAGTGGTCTCTAGTAGAAATGAATGCCTTGTAAGTACTTCTCTGGGAAAAAATGTACGAGTCAGCTGGAATAGAAACACGGCAGGATTTGGAGTCTAGTTTCCTGATATTTGGACATCTCACCTCTGATTGTCTAACAGCAAGGGGACTCAGCCACCAAATCCATTTGCTCTGCAACATTGATGTTTTATCTCCACAGATAACACAAGCCCGAAGGAGCTCTTCTATGTGGTGGAGTCGCTAATGCTAACGGTTAGCTTCTACTAGTTGAGACGTTCTCCGCTTTTTCCTGGATCCTAAACCAACATCAGCCTTCACCAAGATGGGTGAATGTTAGCGTGACGTAGATCAAAC